GAAAATGTTTTCATACATAATATTAGTGGATTCATCTTTATAAATATTTTTTTTTGAGAGAAGAGATTTTCACTATAAGATGTGTGCATTCTCCAGAGAGATAGAGACAGAAAGTGAGAAATCACCCCCCCCCCGGGGGGGATGGCCACTCTGCAATCTCTTCTCCATTCTCCTCCTGGGATTTTGGGCACACACATACAAGTGCCTGGCATGAGGTTTAAGCTCCGAGGTCCAGGTATAGAACCATGGTCGATTAAGTGGAAGTCCGGCCATATAACCATTACGCCATCTGCTGGTCCCTATAGATATAATTTAAACACTTTTTATGAAGGGGGACCCACAAAGAGAAAAGCACCCAGGGCCCATGGAAGTCATAATGTGGCCCTGCCCTAATTGTCCCTCCTGCCCACTTGAACTTGCCAGATTCCAGGGATTTCCTTCTGCCATAGAAAAACGTGCCTGCCCAGTGTCCCTCGTTAGCTCTGGGGTTCCTGGAAGGTAGGCCATTACTCATTTATCTTCATGCCACCCAAATCGCACCTGGTATTATGCTGTCACTTTTTATGAGGATGTTGGGGGATGTCAAGGAGATATTTCAGGGGACCAGCAGTTAGCGTAATGGCTATGTTGCTGGACTCCCACGTAGTCGACCACGGTTCGCATCCCGGACCCGGTGGCTTAAAATTCATGCCAGGCACATGTGCGTGTGTGCCCAAGATCCTGAGAGGAGAATGGAGGAGAAGGGATTGTGGTGTGGCCATCCCCCTTGGGGGGTGATTTCTCGCTTTCTGTCTCTCTCTCTCTCTGTCTGGTTGGCAAGCGCACATGCCCTATAGCAAAAACCTCTCAAAAAAACAAACAAAAAAAAAAGATATTTCAAGACAAAAAGAAAAAAGATAGGGCTAGATTTGAAATAAGCATGGCCAGGGACCAGTAGTTGGCGTAATGGCTATGTTGCTGGACTCCCACGTAGTCGACCACGGTTCGCATCCCGGACCCGGTGGCTTAAAATTCATGCCAGGCACATGTGCGTGTGTGCCCAAGATCCTGAGAGGAGAATGGAGGAGAAGGGATTGTGGCGTGGCCATCCCCTCCTCGGGGGTGATTTCTCGCTTTCTGTCTCTCTGTCTCTCTCTCTGGCTTTCTGGTGAGCGCACGCGCCCTATAGTGTGACTCCCTCCAAAAAGAAAACATGGCCATAGTGCCTGCAGGTGGTATGGTGGTTAAGGTGCTTGACTCCCACGTGCCCAACTGCAATTTGAGTCTTGGACCTGGATGCTTGCTTTCCTACTTTCTCTTTCTCTGTCACTCTCTGGTCAAATTACACCAATAATAATGATAATAAGCGAAATAAAATAATTATTTTAAAAAAATAAAATAAAATAAGAAAAAGAAATAAACATGGCCTGAATGAAAGAGACCCTTTCTCTCCAGCAGGGAGCTAACGTGACAGAAAATCAGGCCAAAGCAGGAGCTGTCACTGAGCCATGTGGCCAGGCCTTGGGAACTGAGGACTCCTGGGAACTGCATCAACTTTCAGTCCATGCAGTCTGACTGTCCATATGCCCTGCACTAAACTCCACCTGCCGCATCTGCCAATCACCTCCAACTCCATTAATCTGACTGGCACCGTCCTGACTTCTCAGCCGTGATTGACACTGCTCATCCGGTCCTCTGTTATGGCTTCCGTGACTCTCTGCTGCCTTGGTTCCCTCCTGTTTCTGTAGACATTCTTGCCCTGCTTCCTTTGCGGGCTCTCCACTCTGCTAGGCCATTCAAAGCAAGTAATACCAGGGCTGGCAGGTGGTGTGGTAGTTAAAGACGCTGGATTCCCACCTGATTGACTACAGTTCAAGTCCTGGACCTGAGGGCTTGTTTTCTCACTTTCCCTTTCTCTCTCTGTGTCTGGTCAAATAAAAAAATAATAACAAATGGAATTAAATAAATAATCCTTTTTAAAGGCAAATAATACCAATATAATAGCAATGGCTGAAATATATTAGCTATTTTCTCTGTCCTGTGCATTATTAGAAATTTGGGACCAGCAAGTGGAGTAAGGGCTGTGTCGCTGGACTCCCATGTAGTCGAACATGGTTCGAGTCCCGGACCCAGGGGCTTAAATTCACACTGGGTGTGTGTGTGTGTGTGTGTGTGTGTGTGTGTG